TTTAGTTACATATCTTATATATATTTTCGTCCGATTTAAGGTAAAGTGTGCACAAAAGTCCCTATATATCTCTCGATTTGCACTAAATTTGGCTCAGCGTAATGAATTGGGTCTATATGTGTGCTAAGTTTCCTGAAATCGGTTTTGATTTAGATATAGCTTCTATATCTGACCAAATGAACAATTTAGTATCGGTTGCAGAATGACGTGTTTATGGTTCCAAATTCATTTTACTGATCCGTTAAAAATGCGACGTCTGTTAGGATTCATCTGTTGAATATACTCAAAGTGGTGAAGGGTATCATAAAGTCGGCCCCGTCTGTAAAGAACAAATTAAACAAAACTAAAAAAACCAAACCTAACAACAATGGCCTACAAGGTGGGTAGAAGAAGATTGCAAATATTGGTATATAATAAATAAAAGAACATAAATAATAGAGAAAAAAAATGTATAAAATTCGAAAAAATGTGCTAACGAAATTTGGTATTCCCTTTACAGTTTGTTATCGCTCTCGCTTTCGTTGCTGCCGCCAGCGCTGCTGTCATCGTACCCAGTGCTCCCGTTTTGGCCAAGACTGTCGAACTTGAAGAATACGATCCTCATCCCCAATACAAATACGGTTATGATGTGCAAGATGCTCTCTCGGGTGACAACAAGGGTCATGTTGAAGAACGTGATGGTGATATCGTTCGTGGTGAATACTCTTTGATCGATGCTGATGGTTACAAACGTACCGTCAGCTATGTTGCCGATCCCATCAACGGTTTCAACGCTGTCGTCCGCCGTGATCCTCTTGTTGCCGTTGCCGCTCCCGTCGTCAAAGCTGCCCCTGTTGTTGCTGCCGCTCCAGTAGTTAAAGCTGCTCCCGTAGTTGCCGCTCCTTATGTTGCCCCAGCCGCTTATGCCGTCAGAAATTTGTAAAAAGGGAAACTGCTTGTTGAGACTTGTAGCTTTCGTTGTTGACCAGTTTTAGTTTAATTTAAATAAATGTTATTAATTTTTTGAACAAAAAAAACATTTTTTTTTTTTAGTATTTTGGATTTTTTTAGTTAGTCTGTGTTTATAGATGCAACTTTTTTAAGCAACTCTTCTCTTTTGAATTTCTTCCCCCTTGTCACTTTTTATATCTCTCACTTATAAGAACTCAGCAGAGTTGCTTACAAAAGTTGCATGTATAAACCCAGACTTATGAAGCTCCAGACAATTTGGAGTTAATTTAAAAATATATGTCAAATTCTGAATTTGTACTCAATTTCTTAAAGATACCGTAATATTTTGGAATATCGGATGTCTCATAATTTTGCTGAAAATTAGTTCTTTCATACGCGCGAAGTATCCGGGTGGATCCAAATTTTGCACAATCTTATACTATGTGAAGATGGAGCATAATTCCTCGTAATTCCGACACGAACGATCAACATTTTAAGCACATTGAGAATTCGAATTGTTAATCGTTATATTTTCTCCCAATCTAGATGAGATGTAAATATGGGACTCATATCGACCGGTTGAACTTATAACCGGGTCCCAGTTTTGGTACACCCCTTATAACATATTTTTACCGAATTTTCCAGCAGAAGTTCGCTAATTTGGCATTGCTGGTTCTTGGATGTCGAAAAATATCTTTGCAGAAAATTGTCAATATATTTTTCTTCTTGACCCCCAATTTGTAAGTGCCCCTCAACGTGTGAAGTATTTTCCTAGGCTCACATTTCAGTCAAAGTGTCTGTTAATAACTTCTTCGGATAGAAATCTCAATAAGGGTACATATACCCCTTTATGAAGATTAAATGGATTTCTGCTGTGGATTTCAATGGCTGCAAATTGACAGTCCGGGTTCTTGGTGATAAAAAACTTGTTCTCATACAATATTCAAATTAAGATCATGTTCTGACTGTCGAAGAGCCTGTAATTAGACTTTCTGTGTTCTCGGTTGTCCAAAAACTTCAAATGGTTCTTGAATGGTTTTTATACGCTCAGCATTATGGCTACTTAGGGTATTTTCACTTTCATACGCAAAATTGTTCCTCATATAAATATTGGTTTTAAACTCCACATTTCTTTGGACCGAATCCGTTTAACACTATTTGATATCGATTTAGGTGCAGATAACTCTCGAAGGGAGTAACCGATTTCATCCAAATTTTGCAGATCGTAATATTTCCTCCAAACTTAGTTCGTTACTTACACAAAAGGTTCAAAAATGAAAATTAATTTTATAATATCATGCGAAAGGACAATACGATTTGAGCCAAACTTTGCAAAACCTAAAATCTTTACCAAGCCTACGGACGGTTATGAATGACCGTCCGTCCGTCCGTCTGCCCATGTTAAATTGTAAACAAAGTACAGGTCGCATTTATGATCCGAATTGGATGAAATTTGTCACAGCTCATTTGTTTGGTCCAAGGACGAACCCTATTGAAATTGGGAAAAATCGGTTCAGATTTAGATATAGCTCCCCAGGGACGTACGCAGGGGGGCGGCCCGAGGGACCCGGCGCCCCCCCGAAATTAATTTTTTCACAGTAAATTTATGTTTACAACAGCGAATTTTTTCATTTTGTGCTACCGGGCACATAGGTTCAGATTTTATGTAATTGGTGCACCAAAGTCCCTATATATCTTTCGATTTTACGAATTTGGTATAGTGTACTGAATTAAATCTAGAATGATGTTACTAAGCTGCGTGAAAAGATCCATAGCTAGGCCGAATGACACAACGTACTGAAGTAATATATATTAGTCTCTGGCAATTTTCCCTGAAATATTTTAACAATGCCTGTATAATGTTGGGATTATATAATGGGACTTAACGATCTAATACGGGTCAATATTTTAAAAACTTGTAAATCTCATATGAAGCGAACGGAATATCCAATTTCATCCAAAACTTTACATATGCTAATATATTTTCCTTTAATAGATCAAGTTGGTCCACACGTTCTGGTATCTTTCCCACAAGTGTTAAAATTATGATTTTTTAATACAATATCAAAATAATGGAATGAATTATTTAATTCAAACATTGCAAACCTCGAAAGATGATCAACTCTTTGAATAAACATATTATTCCGTAGACCTCCCCAAATCATAGGATGAGGGTATATTTCTGTCGGCACCAACGACTGACACTTTTTTATTTGTTTTTAGCACAAATATAACTGCACCGCACCATTTTGCGTATTTTAAAGGTATTTTCGATGGTAAACATGAATTTTCATAAAAAGACTAATTTTCTAGTCAAAAGGACTGAAAACAACTGTTTTAAAGAAAATCGGTAAATGATTTCATACAGCCTCTTTACGGATTAAATTACGGATTAAAGTGTGGATTCGAGTGGTTGAAGATTGGTGTTCTGTGTTCTTGGTGATAAAAAAGTATTCACAAAATTTCCGGTGGTCTGAACATGGACAAAATTCCATATGAAGATCCGTCTTAGATCCCCCCTAGAATCCGAATATTTTAAATTGTAATTCTTCTGTCTTTAATTTGGTACTTCGTTTTCTCATGGGTCCCGACCGACATAAATATGATCGATCATAATAAAATTTTAATGTCGAGTTCCCCATATACGTCTGTCAGTAAGATATTATCTTTGAAATTTTGCACATACATTATTTATTTATTATATTCTAAATCCTCATGGCCAATAAATAGAATAACAAATTCATTCTTTCATAAAAAATCCCGACAGATTTTAGGTATTTGAACCCCTGGGGTTAAAATTTCTGGGAGTCAGAAAAATATTATTTAAAAAATCCACGCCTTTTTGGCAGTTAGAAAAATATTATTTAAAAAATCCACGCCTTTTTGGCAGTTAGAAAAATATTATTTAAAAAATCCACGCCTTTTTGGCAGTTAGAAAAATATTATTTAAAAAATCCACGCCTTTTTGGCAGTTAGAAAAATATTATTTAAAAAATCCACGCCTTTTTGGCAGTTAGAAAAATATTATTTAAAAAATCCACGCCTTTTTGGCAGTTAGAAAAATATTATTTAAAAAATCCACGCCTTTTTGGCAGTTAGAAAAATATTATTTAAAAAATCCACGCCTTTTTGGCAGTTAGAAAAATATTATTTAAAAAATCCACGCCTTTTTGGCAGTTAGAAAAATATTATTTAAAAAATCCACGCCTTTTTGGCAGTTAGAAAAATATTATTTAAAAAATCCACGCCTTTTTGGCAGTTAGAAAAATATTATTTAAAAAATCCACGCCTTTTTGGCAGTTAGAAAAATATTATTTAAAAAATCCACGCCTTTTTGGCAGTTAGAAAAATATTATTTAAAAAATCCTCGCCTTCTTGGCAGTTAGAAAAATATTATTTAAAAAATCCACGCCTTTTTGGCAGTTAGAAAAATATTATTTAAAAAATCCACGCCTTTTTGGCAGTTAGAAAAATATTATTTAAAAAATCCTCGCCTTCTTGGCAGTTAGAAAAATATTATTTAAAAAATCCACGCCTTTTTGGAAGTCAGAAAAATCGTTTTTAAAAAATCCACGCCTTTTTGGGAGTCAGAAAAATCGTATTTAAAAAATCCACGCCTTTGGAGAAGTTGAAAAAATATTATTTAAAAAATCCTTGTCTTTAGAGAAGTCTAAAAAAATATTCGAAAAGTCCTTGCCTTTTTGGGAGTTGCAAAAATTTATTTAAAAAATCCATGCCTTTTTGGGATACTAAGGTGTTTTGTTTAGCGTTTTCTTACTGAGTCTATAGTAGGGTATTTCTGGAGGAGCTTAGGAAAATCCAATTAAACGAAGCTGAATAATTTTCCCAGCTTCTAATTCCCATAGTGAATGCAAATAACCAATATTTCTTCTGTGGTCGATAGCAAAGACCAACACCGTAGAGTTGTTCCGGTAGTTATCTTTGCTTATACTAAAACCGCATTAAATCTCCGAATCTAAATTTTTTTCATATCACATTTATTAAGATTAAGATTAAACAAAAACTAGTCAACAATCGGGACGGCTACAAAGCTAAACCCTTGATAAAAATTACAAATTGCGTACGGCATAACCAGCTGGCAAAGCATAGTTGAATGGGGCAGCAACGTAAGGAGCTGGAGCAGCTACATATGGTGCTGGAGCGGCAACATAGGGAGCTGGGGCAGCGGCAACAACGGGGGCGGCAGCTTTAACAAATGGAGCTGTGGCAGAGTAGGTTACGGCAGCGCTGAAGGGAGCAGGAGCAACGAAAGGGGCAGCCTTGACAATTGGAGCAGCTACAGGGGCAGCAGCAACAACGGGAGCAGCCTTAACAACAGGGGCAGCTACTGGAGCAGCGGCAACAACGGGGGCAGCCTTGACAATGGGAGCAGCTACTGGGGCAGCAGCAACAACGGGAGCAGCCTTAACAACAGGTGCAGCAGCAACTACGGGAGCAGCCTTAACAACTGGGGCAGCAGCAACAACGGGAGCGGCGGCGACGATGGGTTCACGACGAACAACAGCATTGAAACCATTGACGGGATCGGCAACATAGCTAACAGTACGCTTGAAACCATCAGCATCAATTACAGTATATTCACCACGAACCACATCACCATCGCGTTCCTCCACATGGCCCTTAGAGTCCCCAGAAAGACTATCCTTGACATCATAACCATATTTATATTGGGGATGAGCATCGAATTCCTCGAGTTCGGCAGTCTTGGCCAAGACGGGAGCGCTGGGTACAACAGCAGCGGCGCTGGCGGCAGCAACGAAGGCGAGGACAACAACAAACTGTAAAAATTTAATATTTTTCGAATTATTTTCAAATAATCCTTTAAATCTAAAAATCATCCATGTCTGTTTTTCGGTAACGGACAACCCACCTTGTAAGCCATTGCTTCAGGTTTAAGTTTTGTTTAATCACTTAATTTGTTCTTTACACGAAGTGTACTAAACTGTGAATATGTTTTGTCCACATTGATGGTCAGAAATTTATAGTCACCAGCTTGCCATTGAAGCGTCTTCATTAGCATTCATAGTGTGACACGTTAATGGCTGCTTGGTTTTTTTTTTTTTTTTTTTGTCGACGCATTTGTCATGAGGTCGTCTAGTGGGCAAGTGCAAAATTCTTCCATATTTGGTAGAATGTCTTTTGTGTAGTTACTAACAAATTGTTATTGTTAATACGTCACCTACGCTGTCACACATTTAATAAAATAAAAGTAATTGTTTAGTAGTAACAACAGCATGTGTGCGTGTCTGACCTTGAAAAACGCAACTAAAATTGGAAAGTGATAGTAAAAACTGTATTTAATAAAATAAATATGCATTGCAGTTCGTAGCTAATAAATATTCTGCATTTTTCCCATGAGATCAATGGCCGAGGGCAATTTTAGAAAATTAACAAAAATATAAGAGAGGAAGGGGTCGATCATATGCAGTGTAGCCAAAACTTTGTTGATAAAAAAATGATAGAAAGTTGCAAGAATCTACTAATTTTTACTATAATTTTCGATATATCGCAAAAGTCAAATTGTACATTTTTGCAGGTTCTGAAACAGACAAAGTGCTAAAAAAATTGTAAAATATGCCAAATAAAAGTGTGTTCTAATAATTCATTCTGAGACCCCCATTTATTCTAAATCTGAACAAATTTCTTTGTCGATTTAGCCCTGTCCCCCTTTCGGATTAAATACCGATACTGCTCGAATACTAAACACTTTGAAATTTTACACATATATTGCTAATACTACTAGAATTTTTGGTGTTGGACATGGGATATATTGGTCCATTTCAGAGCAACATAGGCTTCTAGGACAGCGCCAACATATAAGTAAATGTTTAGTAGTAACAACAGCATGTGTGCGTGTGTGACCTTGGAAAACGCAACTAAAATTGGAAAGTGATAGTAAAAACTGTATTAAATTGGTGGTACCCTCAATATTCTATATTTTGAACTAATTTGGGTTTTTTTTTTTGGTTCTCCCTGAGTGGAAAACCTTCCTACTAAAAATTGTCAATATTGGTTTACTTTTATAGGGTAGTCACCGTTTTACAGCCGATTTCGTTCTAATTTAATATTTTTGATTCTTATTTGGAATATCTCTCTTTACCAAAAATTAAAAATATGGGATACTATTTCGGAGTAGCCCACATAGAATGGTACCTCAAATATTCGGTGAATTTAGGCAGCTATGGTAGCTACCATATAACGATATTTTGAAGGTTATTGCAACATTTATTTTTGTAATTTCACATTGTGGGATTTTGGAGGCTGGCATAGGTGCAGATAATTATGAATCTAGGTCAAGGTTTGTACATGGTCCATATATAAAAAACGCAATATTTTTGGTATTTTTAATGTTTCAGCAGCACTTATTTGGACATACCCCCCATAAAAAAATGTTCGTCCAATGTGCACACTTTTAAGGTTTTAGAACCTTTTTCCCATCGAAGTGGCTGTAATTTTACCGTGATATATGTCTTCCTCCGTAAAATAACAATATGAATATATTATAATAATCGCGATAAAGTTGCACATCTTCGCGCAATATGAGAAAAATAAAAATAATATAGCAGATTACATCTATATTGTCATTACATTAATGACATACACACACCTAAAAATTAATTTAAAACCAGTAAAGAAAGTAGAAAATGGATCCATAAACATGCCAATCTGCAACCTATACTAATATTTTCATTTAGTCAGATATATATCATTTGGTCAGATATAGAAGATATATAATCTGAACCGATTTAACAATTTAAGGAAATTTAACAAACATCATTCTAGACCTTATTCATTACGCTGTGCCAAATTTGGTGCAAACCGAAAGATATTAAGGGACTTTGATACACCATTTATAAAAAAAATCGGACGAAACTATATATGGGAGCTATATCTAAATCTGAACCGATTTTCATGAAACTCAGCACACATCATTCTAGGCCTAATTCATTACGCCATGCCAAATTTCGTGCAAATCGAAAGATATATAGGGACTTTGGTGCACCATTTACATAAAATCGGACGAAGCTATATATGGGAGCTATATCTCAATCTGAACCGATTTTCACGAAACTTAGCACACATCATTCTAGACTTAATTGAATACGATATGCCAAATTTCGTGCAAATCGAAAGATATATAGGGACTTTGGTGCACCATTTACATTAAAATCCGATCATAAATGCGACCTGTACATTGTTCAGAATACATGGATGACAGACGGACAACTGCACATGCGTAAATCGACTCAGAAAGTGATTCTATGCATATTCTCAAAAGGAACCATGTGTCTATCTCGTTTCCTTTTGCCTGTTACAAACATAGCAATACGTAATCGTCAGCTACACATAAAAAAAAAAA